TATTTCTGCATGACAATGATGGAAGTTTCCTGCCATTAAGACTGATAGCCTTAGAGACCCAATGGAGGGTTGTTATGAGTTGGAATCAACTCAGTGGCAGTGGTTTTTCTTGAGATGTTCTGAAAGGAGATGGCCAGGCTTTCCTTCTAGCTCCTTACCCTGGAGGCTCATAGAAATTTACCTAGCATTACAGCAAAGCACAACCTTCTAATGACAGGTATTGGTGGCTGTACATAAAGTGCACTGATAGGAAATGTAACCCTGTCTCCTACATGGAAGGTGAAAAGCCCTTCAATGTACATAATAATAAGGATTTTTTTTTAAATGAGATTTTGCATGTACTGTTCTTAAATCTTTATCTATAGTTTTCCTTTGTTGGTTTGGGAGGGACTGTGTTATGGATTACCAGTCTGCGATGTAACCCTCTACTCTGATGCACAGGAGGAGGTCACCTTTTAAACTGCTGCTGTATAAACAACAAAACCAAAACCCGAGTAGTTTAAAAGTCTCTTTGAAGTATACGAAGGGTTTGTTACATTACATCTTCCCAAGAGATGAAGATGATGACTGCTACCATATTTTAAGCATTTCCTACGAAGCACTTTAATTGTACTGCCAGATCTAATCTGCACAACATACACCATAAAACTAGGTATTACTGAGCAGACTGTAGGGCAGTGTTTGAGTCTAGATTCCCAAGACAAACTGTTTGCATCTGAAGGACAGAATATCTCTATGACCCTATGAGAGTTATAATTGCTCTTTGCCTCAGTTTCTTCATCTATAAAATATAACCTTACTCAGTTGTTATGAAGATATGCACAAAGTTCTTGGCACAGTGAAACCGATACGCTTTTCATGCAGGTAAAAAGAAATTCATAGAAGTTAGAATATTCATTCAAATCACTCAGATGAAGATTACAGAGTTGAGCTTCAGGCTAATTCCAAAGCCAATGCTCCTAATAATGAAAAGAGCAAGTTCTCCACATGTTGTTCATAGGTGAATAATAATTGAATCAATGATACCTAACAATAAAAAAGTATATGGGCCTCCATGCCCATGTTTTTTTTCTATACCATATTGTGTATACTTTCCTAATTTAATCAAATCACATAACCACTTAGCTAGGGAGATGGTTTAGACACTTAAGGAGGGAGTCAGAGTCTACATTCATTACCTTTCAGGTTCTCTAATACATTTTGAATTCGTTTTCATATGTGGTATGAGATACGGGTCTTGCTTTCGTTTTCTATAGTTAGATATCCAATTTTACCAGTACCGTTTGTTAAAGAGGCTGTCCATTTCCCCATTTAATGGGTTTTGCTTCCTTGTCAAATACCAGCTGGCCTTATGCAGATTGGTCGATTTCTTTATTCTATGTGGCTGTCGTCGTACCAATACCATGCTGTTTTGATTACTACAGCTGTGCAGTTTGCTTTACAATCATAAAGTGAGATGCTGCCTACTTCATTTTTGGTTTTCAGAAGAGCTTTCTTTATTCTGAGTCTCTTACTTTTCCAAATAAAACTGAAAATTGCCTTTTCTATCTCTTTGAAGAATTAATTTTGTACCTATTTTGGGATTGCATTTAATCTATAGATTGGTTTTGCTAGAACTGCAATTTTCACAATGTTCAGTCTTCCTACTCAAAAAGAGGAAATACTTTTTCCATTTAGTGGGTTCTCTTATTGTTTCTTATAGTAGTGTTTTGTAGGTTTTTTGTGTCACCAGTTAAGTTTATTCCTAAGTGTTTTATCTTGTGCTTACTATTATAAATTATAATGCCTTTTTCGTTTCCTTTCCTGTGCTTGCTTTGTTGCTATAGAGAAATCCAGCTGATATTTGTCTGTTGATCCTATATCCTGCCACTCTACTAACTTGGTCTACTGTGTCCAACAGGTTTTTTTATTGAGTCTTTGGGTTGTCTGTGTAATGCCAAATTATCTGCATATAGGAAGAGTTTCATCATCTCTCTGCCAACTTGGATGCCTCTTTTTCCCCTCTCTTGTCTTACTGACCTAGCTTGAACTTCCAGTACAATACTGAATAGGAGTGGTGATAGTAGGCATGCTTATCTGATTCCAGTTCACAAGAGGAGAGTCTTTAGTCTTCTTTCTGTTAAGAATGATATTAGATCTTGGTTTTCTGTATATATTTTTCATCATATTGAGAAAATTTCTCTCTATTCCTATTTTGCTGATTATTTTTATCAGGAAGGAGTATTATATTTATTCAAAGACTTTTTTTTGCATCAATTGATAGGGACTTTTGCATTATTAATTTGATGAATTACACTAATTGTTATTCTTATATTAAACTGTCCTTGCATTCCTGCTATGAATCCCACTTAGTTGTAATGGATTTTTTTTGAAGTTTTTAAGACTTTTTTTTTTAAATTTTTATCTTTATTATTTTGTGTGCATGTACTGTCAAATCAGATCTGACTGGTACAGGAGAATATTGCTCCTCCTTCTCCAGAAGAGCATCTGGTGGATTCGAACCGTGTACTTCTGGGATTGCAGTTCAGCTTCTTGCCACTAGGCCACCAGAGCTCCCTTTTATTTTTTTAATATACTGTTGGATTCTATTGTCCAGAATTTTGTTAAGGATTTTTCCATCTATGCTCTTTTTTGGTATTATCCTTGCCTAGTTTTGGTATTAAAGTTATAAGTCAAGAACAAGTTCTTCTTTTTCTGTTTTTTGTTTTTGTTTTTTTTTTTAATAATTTAAGTAGAACTGGTGATAGTTCATCTCCAAATATTTGGTAGGATTCACCCATGAAGTTGTCTGGGCCTTTTTTTTTAAAGCATTGTCTTCTTATGACTTTGTTTAGTTTCTTCTTTTCTGATGAGTCTGTTCAAGTGTTATTCTCTCCATATTAAATTAGGTAGGCAGTAGATTTCTAGGAATTTATATATATCCTCTAGGTTTTCAAATTTATCAGAGTACAGGTTTTCATAATATTCCAGTTATCAATTTAATTTCAGCTGGTTCTGTTGTGATGTCACTTCTTTCATTTTTATTTAGGTTATTTGTGCTTTTTGTAAAGTTTGCCAATGGTCTGTCCATCTAACTAACCCTTTCAGAGGACCAGGTCTTAGTTTTGCTGATGGTTTAAATTATTTTTCTTGTTTTCTCGCTCACTGATTTCAGCCCTTATCCTTATAATTTCCTTTCTTCTGAAACGTGTAGAATTAGTTTGTTATTCATCTTCTATTTGCTGGTGGTGTTAATTAGTTTATATTGCTCCTTTTTCATGTTTGGTCTTGGTGAGTTGTTTTTCTTTTGGAAGGGCCTAGTCAGTTTGGAATTCACAGAAGTTTTTGAATGAGTGTTTCTTGTTTTTCATGATACATAGAAAATTTTTTTTCTAGTCCCTCTTCCATAATTCTCTCAGTACTTTTAATGTTTCTTCCTGTATTGAAATTCTAATTACACATATGTGGTTTTGTCTGATGTCATGATTCTTATGTCTCTTCATTTTCCTTTTGTCTCCTGTTTCCTCTTCTAGTAGGTTCTCACTGAGATTCTTATCTTCTAGCTCACTCAGTCTCTCTGGCTTTTAGTCCCTTACAGTTTGTTGAAAATTCCTGCCATATTAGTCTTAACTGTTCCAATTTGCATTTTCTTGCTTTACTATTATTTCTGGTACTGTGTAGGCTGCACCCTTTATGTCTTGTACTAAGATTTGTATTACATTAGTGTATCTCTTTACTCATGGTTGCATTTCTCTCTTCCATCATTTGTAACTTCTTCAGCACCAATTCTTGAAATTCCACGGTGGTGTATTTATTTTGCCTTCCTGTCTCTTACAATTCGGCTTTCTTTTGTTAAGAGAGGGCTGTTTTCATTTTTTCTTTCCTTTTTTCTTTTTTTAACATTTGAACTTGACTGCAGCTTCTTTGACATTGTGTGGGTTTCTTGTTATGAGGGAGCTTCTGTTGTATCTGAGTGGGGAGTTTCCAAGTCTTTATTTTTATGATATCATGTTACATGAGTGGAATTTTCTTAGCTTTATTCCACAGACAGCAACAAGACCAGAGCTGGAAGTGTGCTCACCAGCAACAGGAGCTCCAATAGCAGCAGTTGCTGAAGTGCTTTAAGAGGAGCCTTGTGGCCAGTACATTCTGAAGCTAGACAGGGAGTGTTGGTTCACCAACTAGCAGTGGCCAGGTGGCAAACGGCATGCTTTTGGGCTCGGATGGGAAGTGTGTTCACAAGCAGCAGGAGCAACTGGGCTCCTGGAGTCCAGAGAGCTCTGGAGTCAGTGCATTCCAGCAGGAGTGGCCATACCTAGTGTGCTTCAGGGGCAGCCCTGAGGCCAGTGCCTCCTTGGGCCAGACAGGGAGTGCTTGGCACATGGTGCACTTCTAGGGTAGGACAGGAAGTGTCTAAGCAAATATTTACTAATAGCAACAGTAACATAAGAATCACTTAAGTACTTAATCCACAACTGCCATCAAGTTGATTCTAACTCATAATGATCCTCCATCAGCTTTCTGAGGTTGTAAATCTTTATGGGAAGAGACTATTTTAAGTTCTTATAATGTATAAAACGAAATGCGTATTTGTGTAGGACCATTTTATATGTCAGAGATTATCAGATCAATTTTTCAGGACCACAATCTAAAATAAGCAATTCTAAGACATCTTGGAGAGAGTGAAGCCAGAGTGCTCTTTGGAGGTATGGAGGTAAGAATGAAGAGCCTTCGCTCCACATACTTTGGGCATGTTATTAAGAGGGGCTATTTCTTGGAGAAGGGCATGATACTGGGAAAGGTTGGAGGGTAGGTGAAGGAGAGGAATAGCTTCAATCAGGTGGACTGCCAAAGTGACTGCTGCAATGAGCTCTTGTGTGTCAGGAAGTGTGAGGATGGCGTAGAATGGAACAAGCTTTAGACCTTTTGTTCATAGGGTAGCTATGAGTTGTACTCGACTGTACGGCACCTAATAAGACACTAAATGACTTTCAAAATATTAAAACATCTGATAAACTTACTTTGTTGTCGTTCTTTCCAGCAATTATTTCGGATATTAGTCACATAATCTTCTTCAACATTCTTTTCTATTTTTTGTAATAGCGTTCCTTTATATTCATTTTTAAAGTCCTTGTTGACATAATAAACGACACGCAAGTTTTCAGTCTGCATTTTAATAGTTTGTCCTGATCCACTGTAAAAGAGACACAGGATCATTACTTTTTAATTTAAATTGGGCATTCTGATTTGCTACTGCTACAAATGATTCTAGAACTTAAACTCCCTATCAGAAAATAGAGGCAGCATGTTGAATGCATAGCAACAAATATCAGCTGAATTAAAAGCAATGATGACTACCTCAAAGATGATAACTATGACACTTTCATGCAGGTATCATTTTTCACAATCCTAGCAAGAAGCTAACATCCAAAATTTCAGATTGGTGGTCGTCCCCCCCCCCAGAATTTTAGGGTTTTTAATTTTTAAATGTTCACTGTATTTTAAGAAAGTTATCTATTATGCATGCTTGGATTACGTTTACTTTATATCCTGATGTCTTATATAAATACACTGTGAAAAAAGACTTCATTCTAAGAAAAATGTGCTTTAGTCAATATTTTAAAAACAGAAATGTGTCATTTCCCCTGTATGTATATCTTTATAGAAGCAGACTACCTCATCTTTCTCTGACAGAGAAAATGCGTTTGAACTACAGATGTTTTACTGCTGGTATGTGGATACTTTAACCACTGTTCTTTTTAATGGCATAAGCTTTATCACTATTCTAACATAAATTCAATCACTATTCTAATTTTAGGGAGCACTGGTGGTCTAGTGGCAAAAAACTGTGATGCAATCCTGAAAAGAATTTCCTCTAGTGCGATCAACTGCCTCTAAAAACCCGCCAGAGGGTCAGCTATGAGCCAGTTCTAACTCTACAGTACATAACACTGTTACATTATTTTTGTCTTTTGAAATGTTTTTGCCTTTCATGTCAACAGACGATGTTATACAAACTTTGGAAATAACATTTCTGTCCTTATTCAAAGAAAAGAAAAAAGTAAATTCACAATACAAATCTATCACTTGAATCACTATTTTAAAAATAACAGTAAGGTTTACAAAATCTAGTATACTTGTAATACTAAGAGACCTGACACTTAAAAATGAAAAAGAGGACAACAGAAGCAACAAGAATCTACTTTTTGAACAATTTCATGTAACTACTTACGATCTGGGATATAAGGAATAAGGAGGATTAGAGACCATCAACTGGCTTAATAGTGATACCAGTATCAATACAATGATGGGCATCAGCTGGATAAATACAGAAAAACCACCCTAGGAAAAGGATCAAAGAAAAACAAATTATAACATTACAGTTGTTGGTAATCTAAAAGTTGACATTAATTTTTAATAACAGAAAAGACATTAGAGATCATTCTGTTCAGCGCTTTTGAGAACTGCCTGAAAATACTTCGCTTATATAGATCATTCTCAGAACTATAACTCGCCCCAGCAGCAATAGCAAAGTTCAACAAAGCTGCAAATAATAAATGCTGAAGAGACTGGAACCCTTCTTCACTGCTGGTGGGAGTGTAAAATGGTGCAACTACTATGGAAGGCAGTCTGGCATTTTCTCAAAAAGTCAGAAATATTTAACCCAGCAATTCCACTACTGGGAATCTATCCCAAAAAACCAGAGCTGCTACCCAAACAGATGTATGCACATCCATGTTTATTGCTGCGTTATTCACAATATCAGAAAAGATCAATGCAGCTCAAGTGCCCATCAACAAATGGATGGATAGAAAAACCACGGTATATTACTACAACAGAATACTACGCAGCACTGAAAAACAATGAACTCATAAATAAATTGAAGAGGAGGAAGAAAAGGGGAGGGAGGAAAATGTGCAACAATGAATGAATGAATATCCAACTTTCCTGTAAACTTTTGTTAAAATTAACAATTAAAAGAATTTAATTCAAAAAAGAAAATTAAAAAAAGACAACCTACAGGCTCTTCATTTGGAGAATCTGATTTGGAAAACACTGATATAATCTGATCTCATTTTCCAAACAAGGACATTCTCTCTCTTTTTCTTTCTCACACACAAAGATTATATCATCAATGTGCAGACTATTTTTCCTCAGTTTTGGACGTGGGATATGGAAATTGATAAGTGGCAAGGCTAGGATCCAGACCCTCTAGTCTAAATTTACCTTGATACTTCACGTAATTTAGTTGCTATATGCAAGTATGTATAACTGTATTAAAACAAGGAAAATGACTGTCAATTTAAGGTTTCTAACTTTTCAGGATGAACAAAGTGAGCCTTCAAACATACATGCTACAGATATTCATCTGCATCACAAAATCCCAAATTTAAAGGAGTCATAATGTCTAACCACTCCTATTTCTACCCTGGCCTCCTTAACATTTCTAAGGAATTTTTCAAACTGTGTTGCACAGCTATAGTAATAAAATACTACTTCTTAAAAACAATTGCTCTATTTTTCAGAAAACTCTTAATTGATTTTCCCGAGCTTAAATATGCCATTTTATATTTTCTAATTTTATCATAAACATACATCTCCTCTTTCATCTTCTCTCTCATGTCCACTATGTCGATGCTGATGCTGATGGCTATAACCAGCGCGTCCATTTGAAAATGAATGTACACTACCTATAAAATGAAAAGTACTATTAGAGATCAGTTATGAGAAAAAGTACATTTTCTTTTATGTTTTTCTTTCATTTTTTTAAACTACAAACCCCCAAACTCTTAATTTTGTGAAGTAATTGCTCTTACATTCATCATGTAAGTGAAGAACAGACAAAACCAGAAATAATTCTTCTGAGACTTTTCTTTAAAGTAAAATAAATGTTTCTTTTCCTCCAAAATAACATGAATAAGAGTTCCTCATTATAGAATACACAAAAAGGAATTCTGTTTTAGATGCTTGTTTTCACAAATACGGAATCATTATTTTGGAACTCTGCTTTTTGTGCTTATCTAACAACACATCACAAACATCACAAACATCCCTAACGTCAAAGATAAGAGCTCTTTTAAAAAATAGCTGTATCATAAACAATGGTATAAGCACAACACAACTGACACAAATGTTCTCTTACTAAAAAAATCTCTGGTGGCCTGGTGTTAAGAAGCTGTACTACATAATCCTGAAGGCACATAGTTTGAATATACCAGCTGCTCTGCAGGAGAAGTATGGGCAATCTCCTCTCATGTCACTAACTGCCTCTGAAACCTGCTGGAGGGTCAGCTATGGGTTGGTTTTGACTGGATTACACTCAACAACACAATGGATATTTAAGCTGTTTCAGATACTGTGACCAATCAGAAATGGTTAGCAACAAGATAAACTATGCTATAATTAAGAACTGCCAATCAACTTGATGGTGGTGAGGGTAGTGGTGTTGTAAGGTAACAACTAGTTAACTATGACCTTTTGAAAGTATGTGTCTTTCACAGGGAGCCTCAATCCTTAGGTAGCTTGAATCCTCAACTCTTCATCTAGCAGCATTTTACTGTTTATGCTATGCATGGGAGCTGCCAATCAACTATTAGAAGTCAAACTCACTATTCACAGAAATATTTCTTATTGTTCTGAGAATATTTTCAGTCAAAAGTATTATTATCAATATTTTTTATACAAGAAATAATTAAGCATTCTAACACAACAAAATACACTTTATTTTTACTCATTTATTAGCATCTAAACATTCCTTTTCTTTCAAGAATTCTTTACAAAATGACGTCAATTCCCACATACTTTCTCATTAATTTTCAGAGAGGCCTACTAGGCTAAAGTCTATCACTATATTAATAAAAATTCTTTTAACTTTGAATTATATGTTTAATACAGCACCTTAAAACAACTTTAGAGTTACTATTTTAATTATCTTAGAGAAAATTTATTTCCATCCAAATAAATGTAAGAGTTCCAAAGTAGTCATGTTGGTGTTATAAAACCTTTTCACTTAGGAAGTGCTATTTCATTATTTCACTTTGGTAGCTTAATTCAAATAATTATTTCTATTTTAAAGTAATCAAAGAAATTCTTCATTATGAATAAAACACTTTACTATTTCAAAACACAGAAGAACCTCTAAAATAATCCAAATTAATAATATATGTTATTAAAAAATATCTTCAAGATCTTCAACCTATGTCAGATAGATTTCTGGGACATGAAATGCCTTCTATAATTTTGTCAGCACCCACCTCAGGTAATTTTAATGGATTTCCCACTTACATGGCCTCTCTTCAGTCCCACATTTTCTACAGAGTATCTGTACTCTTTTTTTCCTACTAAAAAGTATTATGAATTTAATTGTATCTCCTAAAAATATATTATAAGTTCTAGCCTCTGGGCAGATATTAACAAATTATGGATAACATTACAAAGAAAGGAAGTTCCAGAACAATTCACTGTGCTCACAAAGAACTTGTATGTCAAACAAGAAGCAGTCCCTTGAAAAGAACGAAGTGATATTATATTGCATAGTTTAAAATCAAGAAAGGTGTTACATACTTTCACCAAACTTAGTCAATCTGTAGGCTAAGCAAATAAGCCATGAGGCTGGATATAAGACAAATGTACCATCAGGATTGTAGGAAAACATGAACATTCTGCAAATTGCAGATGACACAACCTTAAAGATTATTACCTTCAGTACAGATTACATTCCAGTATAAAGAAAACAAAAACTCTTACCCCTGGACCAATAAATAACATCAAGATAAACAAAGAAAAGATTGAAAGGTTTTCAAAGATTCAACCAACAACCATGGAAGCAGAAATCAAGAAATCAAATGAAAATATTAGGCAATCTGTTGTAAAGGACCTCTTAAAGTGCTCAAAGAACAATGATGTAACTTGGAGGAACAAAGTGTGTCAGACCCAAGCCATTTTCAGTTACCCAAGGTATTTTCAGTAGGATCATATGGTAGCTTGGTGGTAAAAGCCTGTGCGGCCAACCTACAGACTTAGTTTGAATTCACCAGCTGCTCCATGGGAGAAAGATGTGCAAATCTCCTCCTGTGTAAATTACACCTCTGAAAAGCTGCTGGTGGGTCAGCTTTAAGTTGGTTCTGGTTTAATGGCACATAACACCATATGCATGTGAAAGTAGAACAATAAGTAAGGAAGACCAAAGAATAGATGACTTTGAATTTGCACAGTTGGAGAAGAATTTTGATCATACTATGGATTGCCAAAAGAACAAACGTATGTAACTTGGAAGACGTTCAGCCAGAATACTCATTAGAAGAGAGGATGACAAGATTTTGTCTCACATATTTTAAATATGTTACCAGGAGAGGCTGGCTAGTTACTGGAGAATGACAGCATGCTTGACAAAAAGGACCCTCAGTAAGATGGCCTGACATGGTAGCTGTAACAACTTATGCACAGGAGCAATTGTGAGAATGGTGCAGGACTGGGTGGTATTTTGTTCTGCTGTATATACAATTGCACAAATCAGAGTATTGGACAGCACCTAACAACATGTGTGTGGTTACAACAACATCTAGGAATAAGTTGTTTCTGTTTTGTTAATATAGAAGGATAACTGTAGAGAATATCTTGAGTCAAACTTTTTTTGTCACTCTCTTTTGAAATATGACACTTGAAAATGAGCAGAGTAGACACAAGATAAAATAGATACTAACCCACATAGAAATCTTGAAGGAACCACCAAAAAGCAGATGAAGAGACAAGAAAGTTTTTCCAGAGTAGACAGGAGAAACAGATCCTTTTCCTAGAGTCAGCACCCTGAAATACTGAAATAGAACTTGTAGATTTCAAAACCATGAGAAAGTAAATCTGTTTGTTAAAATTATCACTTGTGATATTTCTATTATAGTAGCATTAGAAAACGAAGACAAAATTTGGTACTGAGAGTGAGAGGCTGCTCTGACAGATACCTAAAATATAGAAGTTGTTGAAGAATTGGGTAACAGTGTCTGGAAGAGTTTTAAGGTGCTTAATAGTAAAATAATAGGGCAGAGTGTCATTCTGATAGACAAAGATCACTATGATTTAGAGCCAACTCATGAGCAACTACCCACAAGAGTGAAAGTCTATTGTTACCATTAGGGATATCTGGTGCTACAATGTGTAGGAAGTTGTGCTGTTAACTCAAATGCTGAGCTTATGTGGGGATCTGAATCCACTATAGATAGCTCCATGGGAGAAAGACAGGCATTCTTTTCCTGTGCTAAATACAGCCTTAAAAACCCAATGGAGTCAGTTCTGACTGAACAGTAATGAAACTCAAAACTTCACTGCTAAAATTTACAGAACTGGAAATAACCTGTAGGTCTCTTTCGCCTCCAATGGCCATCTCCGAAGCGGCAGCGGCCAAAATGAAGTTCAATCCTTTTGTGAGTTCTGACCGGGGCAAAAACCGTAAAAGGCACTTCAATGCACCCTCTCATGTTCGAAGGAAGATTATGTCTTCTCCTCTGTTCAAGGAGTTGAGGCAGAAATACAACGTGCGGTCCATGCCCATCCGAAAGGATGATGAAGTTCAGGTTGTATGAGGGCACTATAAAGGTCAGCAGATTGGCAAAGTAGTCCAGGTTTACAGGAAGAAATATGTCATCTACATTGAACGAGTGCGGCAAGAAAAAGCTAATGGCACAACGGTCCATGTGGGCATTCACCCCAGCAAGGTGGTTATCACTAAGCTAAAACTGGATAAAGACATAAAAAGGATATTTGAACGTAAAGCTAAATCCCACCAAGTTGGAAAGAAAAGGGCAAATATAAGGAAAAAACAATTGAGAAGATGCAGGAGTAAAATATTAGCACAACTTCATTAAAAACTGAAAACGAAAAAAAAAAAAAAGAAAAACCCTCACTGCTATCAAGTCAATACCAACAAAGCTGACTCTCCATTGAGTTTCCAAGGTTAAAAATTGCATAAGATTTCTCATCTTTCCCCCGAGCAGCAACTGACGGGATCAGAACTGACAGCGTGGTGACACGGTCTGGTAAGAATTGCAACTTGCTTGGATATGCTATCAGAGCTCCCTCAACAGCAGTTAAGTTGACTACACTGCCATAAAGACACTGGTGGCAGGAATATGGGTACAAAATAAATTCTGGTTAGGGTTCAGAGAAGTGAAGAGGGGCTAGAGAAAAAGTCCTTTATCTGAGAGAATATATATGGTGCTAATAGAACCTGCTAGACATGTAGATATTAAAGGTAGTTCTGGTAAACATGTAATTGGACAACAGAGGAAAAGCGGGGTTTTTACGCACTGTCTGAATGAAATATATTAAAATGTTTGGTTGAAGATAGAATTTGTAAGTGATGAGCTAGGATACGAAATTTCCATACAAGACCTTAAACGAGCCACATAATCTTTTGTTAAAAAGACTGAGACCATGATGGGTGGGCTTAACCATTCAGCAGAAAACCCATCAGCTTACAGTGAAAGGATAAAAGAAAGAACAAAAGGAAAGAACATTGTCTGTTCTCTTGGAATTCTCCAGGTTGGAAACAAACCAAAGGAACAATATCCATTATTGTTCAAGTAAAAGACTATCCCTGGAACAGCTTAGAGTTCAGGAGAACTGTTAGAATAAACACAGAAAACAGGACCTGCTTAGTTTCAAATGTTAGAGCTACAGTTTACTGCATCACAAATGG